AAGACTGAATATAAGTATCTTGACTACATGATGTAGTAGTAAAACGTATAGACACAAAGGTTTAGTCCCCACACTCTGCTGAGTTAAATAATGTTAGCTGAGGCATCTGTAAAGGGAGCTTCAAAAGGCTTTAGCATTTCTTCACACAAAGGATAGTAAAAAATCTGTAAACTTTTCCCGCAAAAAGCTTCAATTGGAAATTTTACAATGGAGGTTGACAGACTTTGTTAGACAAGGGTATTAAGAACCAAAGGAAAGAGAGAAGAATTTGCATTTGTACAGCATCATTCATAACCTCAGGATGTCCTTGAGTGTTTTACAGTCAAATTAAGTACTTCTGAAGTGTAGTCACTATTGTAATGTAGGAAATAGGGCAGCCAATTTGCTCAGTGAGATTCCACAAAGAGCAATGAAGTAATGGCAACTGTTTCAGTTTAGATGTTGGTTGAGGGATAAATATTGACCAAGGAGAACTCCCTACTGTTTCATGGGGTGTGGATGACGTCGCTTATTATTGCTTATCCCTAATTGCCCTTGAGAAAGTGATGGTGAGCTGATTTCCTGAACTGCTGCAGTCCACGTGGTGCTGCTTTGTCACAGTGCTATTAAGAAGGGAGTTCCAGGATCGTGACCCAATGACAGTGAAGTATCAGTGATATCGTTCAAAGTAAGGATGGTGCACGGCTTGGTAGGGAGCTTGCACGTGGTGGTGTTCCCACACATCTGCTGCCCTTGTCTTTCTTGGTTGCAGAAGCTTCAGGTTTGGAAGCTGCTGTCTAAGGAGTCTTGACAAGTTTCTGCAGTACATCTTAAAGATGGTATACACTGCTGCAATTGTGTTAGTGGTGAAGGAAGTAAATGCTGAATATGGTGAATGGGCTGACAATGAAACAGACTGCTTTGTCCTGGATGGTGTTAAGCTTCCTGAGTGTTGTTAAAACTACAGTCATCCAGGCAAGTGGACAGGATTGCATCATATTTCCAATTTGTACCTTTTAGGTGGTGGATAGGCTTTGAGGAGTCAGGAGCTACCTGCCACAGAATTCGAATCCTCTGACCTGCTCTTGTAATCACAATATTTATATGGCTTCAGTTTCTGGTCAATGGTAATGGTAACCCCCAGAATGCTGGTAATAGGGGATTCGGCAATGATAATGCCAATGAATGACAAGGGGACATGATTAATTATTCCTTGATGGAGATTGTCATTGCCTTGCACTTGTGTGGCATGAATATAACTTTTCACTCTCAGCCTGAATGCTGACCAAGTCTTGCTGCATATGGACACTGGATGCTTCAGTATCTAAGGAGTCACAAATGGTGTTGCATATTTTGCAGTCATCAGTGAACATCTCACTTCTGAACTTATGATGGAGAGAAGGCAATTGATGTAGCAGCGGAAGATGGTTGGGCTTAGAATATTACCCTGAAAACTCCTGCAGGGATGACCCGGAGCTGACATGACTGGCAAGAGAAGGACAAACCACTTGGTACTTCTGGCTGGAAGTAGTCGCAAATGCTTCAGTGTGGTTTTTTGCACTGATGGACTCTCCTATCACTGAGGATGGGGATATTTGTGGAACCTCCTCTTCCTATCAGTTGTTTAATTATCCATCACTGTTTGTGACTGGATGTGATAGGACACAGAACTGAAGGGGTTATATATGATCTGTTGATTGTGCGATGGTCTAGTTCTGTCATCTCATGCTGTTTGGCATACAAACAACCCTGTATTCTAGCTTCACCAGTTTGACACCTCATTTTTAGGCATGTATGGTGCTGCTCATGGCATGCTGTCTTCATTGAAACAGGGTTGACTTCCCGGTTTGATAGTAATGATAGAGTGGGGGATATGCTGAGCCATGAGATTACAAATTGTGGCTGAATATAATTTGGCTATTAGTGATGGCACACAGCACCTATTCGAAATCTATCCCATTTAGCAAGGTGCTAATACCACACAACATGATGAAAGGTTTCCTCAATGTGAAGACAGAACTGTGAAGTTGTCACCACTACTAATACTGTCATGTCAGGTAGGCTGGTGAGGATGGGGTCAAGTAGGTGTTTTCTTTGTCTACCAGCTGCTGCAGGCCCAGTTTACTAGTTATGTCATTTAGTTCTCAGCCAGTTCAGTCAGTAATAGTGCTACTGAGGCCACTCTTGGTCATAGCTGTGAAAGTCCTCTCCCCAGGGTATATTAACCTTGCCACCCTAAGAACATCTTCAAAATGATCTTCAACATGGAAGAGTACTGACTCGTTAGCTGAGAGATGTGTGATAGGTAGTAATTACAGGAGATTTCTGTATCTAAGTTTGACTTGTTGCTATGAGACTTTATGGAGCGTGGAGTCAAGGTTGAAAACTCCCAGGGCAACTCCCTCCCGTCTGTATGCCACTGTGCCACCATCTTCGATGGGTCTGACTTTCTGGTGAGCAGGGCATACCCGGGATGGTGGTGTCTGGGACATAGTCATACTCATGAAATCATATCCTGCAGACAATGTCAGGCTGTTTCTTGACTAGCCTGTGAGATAGCTCTCCCAACTTTGGCAAAAACCCTCAGCTCTTAGTAAGTAAGACTTATCAGGGTCAACAGGCCATTGCTGTTTCTTTTTGAAAGCAGTTCCATGGCACTTTTTGCGTCCACCCAAGAGGGAAGACTGGACCTCAGTTTAACATCTCATCAGAAAAGCAGCACCATAATGATGAGCTCCCATCAAATTATATGTTATCAAGAGTCAACATCTTCAGAACAGGGAGTGAAGAACTCAAGTGAATAAAAAATACCACTATCTTTGTGCTTAGTGAAGGAAGATAACATAGAGTCTAGGAACATAGTGGGGTTTATTGTGTGAAATATGAAATGTTTTGCATGTTAACTGTGTCATCACATCTGTGTAATTGTCAAGCAGGAAATAAAAATCACCAAAAACATTTCATGATGATTTTGGCCAGGAAATCAAAATATTAAACTAAGAAGGCAATTATCCAGTTCAATTAGAAAACTCAGATCAGGTCTTGTGAATTCACCCACCCCAACCAAATCGCTGGAAATACTCACCAGGTCAGGCAGCATCCAGGGAGAGAAAAACAGAGGTAATGTTTTCAGGTCGATGAACTTACTAATAATCTGAGACCTTCATATTGTTTTGCTTTCCACAGATGCATCCAGACCTGCTGCGTATTTCTAGCATTTTCTGTTTTTATTTCTGATTCTTAACAATTGCTGTATTTTGAAATCCAAAACTTACTTTTCCTTTGATTTTCTACTGAAAAGAAGTGAGTGACTCCAATCTAAGACTGGAGTGGAATAAGCTTTTTGCTAAAGAATTTTCCCATTTGTAAAGATAAATTATTTTACAAACAACTGTCACAACTTGTATTGAAAAGCTGATGAAATAATTATACTTGACTTTACATAGAGAGCAATATATACTGAGTTAAGGGGATTGAGGGCAGTGGAGCCAAAAGAATGGCAGATACGGTGAGAAAAGGTGGGATTGACAGTAGTATTTGGACAGGTTTGCGAGCAGTTCATGCTTTTTTGGTGAGCTCCTCCAAAAGGCACACTACCCATAAATGTACAAATTGAACAGTAGTGGTCTGTGCTGAGCTAGATGATCTAATTCATAGAAAATTTGCCACAATTGGTCTGAGCACAGTTCAACAGGGAAGGACAAAAATTAGCCAAGCTTGTACCACAAGTACAAATGATGATCAAGTGACTACTTACTGGAAAGACCACAATGTGTGGATGTTTGTTGGGGACTGGATCAAGCACAGTTGTAATTGCCTTCATTGTGGAACAGCCTCCCGAAACCTACTGTTTAGACTCGCAAATGGAAATCTTCCACTTGATTGCAGGACCAGAAGATAACTTATCTGTTAAACTGTACCCCAATATTGAGGTCAATGCATTAAGCAGAGAAAGAGAGGGGTGATTAAACAGGTCAACTTCCGCTGGCGGGTCGTGGTGGTGGTGGGGGTGGGGAATGGAGTTTGTTCTCCTATAACTTCAATGTAAGAGCTCTGGAAACACCTCAAAAAGAGTATAAATCGTCAATTGGGGATGGGGAATGGCTGCTGTGTGGAGAATCATTCAGAGAAATTTACCACCAAAGTACAAAGTCTTTCAGACTTGGATTCAAAACAGACTGAGAAACAAAATGAATTAAATAATTAGGCAGATTTTTATTTCATGCTGTAAGAGTTTTAAATAAATTGATTTTGATTTGAACTTCAGTGTGAATTGAAACCACTGTATAAAAGTAGGACATCATGACAAATATGCAGTTTCAATGTCGTCAGGTTCTCTTTAAATTAATCAGTGACACAACTATCTCCCTCTATCTCATTCTACGAAAGATTTCACTTTTTTATTGTATTGTACTGAGCCTTGAATGCTGAGTTCCTTCAAAAGGTCAGTAATATACTTTTTCTGTTATGGAGACCATTACATTGCACAACGTAAAAAAAAAGAGCATATTTTGTTATAATCCCTATAATGCAAAATATTCGACTCTTAAATTGTCACGTACGGTGAGAAAGTTGTCACTGACCTGAATAAATGCTCCTTGCACTGTGCTCAACGATTTACTCCGACAGTAAAAGAAGCTCTCCAAATGATGACCGTTTCATTGTGAAGTTCGATATTTATTGCTGTGCATTGCAGGGAGGAAGGAATACGAGGGGAGATTTTGCTGTAAACAGGAAAACATGGGAGCTATGATTATGTAACCAAATGTCTGGGAGCAGAAGGTGTAGTTAGATAATAGATGTCTTGTTTGGCTTTTTCTTTGAAAGGTTAGCATCATTAATTTCCAATATGAGCCAAATAACCTTTAACTGGCTAACTGTGCAATGGATAAAACCAAGGAATAAACTGATAATAGGAAGTTGTTCTATTTAAAACAGTGGGAAATTGTGTTCGATATATTTCAAAATGAAAATGGTTTACAACTCTTCAATCTGTTAATGCCCCTTAAAATCTAGTAGATAAACATACTGCATGGTCTGGCACTAAATTTCACAGTCCAGATGGACCCCTTGTTGGATCCTTGGTCTGTGTTTAGTCGGTTGGTCTCAACTGAGGTATCAATAGATGTTATACTTGTCCACAAGTCCCCTAAGCTGTGACGAGGATTGGGCTCAGTTGTGATTACTCCTGTGATAAAATATCCTACAAGCACTAGGGACTACTGGTTCCTATAGAATTGTGACCCAACATGAGTCTGTGGCTTAATGAGAGTATGAGTGAAGACTGGCGAAAGAAATAAAGCCCTTTAATGTGACAGTCGATATTCACGATCCCATCTTTTTCCATCCCTTGGAAACTTGTTATTTCAGGTCTTCCTATTTTGCTAGATGGACATGTACATGGCAGAAGAGAAGGCATTTCCACTTGGAGGAGGAATACCATAACAAGGCTGCATCCACATAAGACAGTCACTAATAAATCCAATTGGGAATTCAGGAGAAGTTTCTTTATGGAGAGTGGTAGAACCTATTACCACAGGGAGTGATTGAGGCAAACAGTATATGTGGACACATTCGAGGATGCCAGATAAGCACGAGGAACAAAAAGAATAAAAGAATAAAAGAATATGATAATAGGGTGTGAGATGAAGCAGACTGACATGGAGTGTAAACACTGGCAAGATGAACCTCACCACATGTAAGGTAGGCTTTCACCCAAGACATGAGCAACCTGATAGGGGTCCAAAGGCTAGATTCACTATGTCAAGAGTTCAAATGGAAAATATACATGTAATTTCTGATATTTATTTACAGATCAGTACTTCCATGCCAGATGTTTGACCAAGTTAACCCAGCAGCTGTTCTAACTTTAATAAGGCTAAGAAGAAGGTGGAGGAGGATAAGAGGAATGAACAACACTAACCGAACCAGGGGCATGTGGCTGAGGGCACTGCAGCTATGAATAAGCAAGCAGCGCGTGAAGAGGAGAACCAGGGTCTTCAGCATCATCGAGCAGTCTACCAAGACAGGGCATAGCTAAATGTGTTGCTGTTTGATGTTTGTTTGATTTATTGTTGTCACATGTACTGAGATACAGTGAAAAGTGTTGTTTTGCCTGCTACACAGGCAGATTGTACCATACAAAGTGCATTAAGGTAGCAGAACAGAGTGCAGAATACAGTGTTACAGCCGCAGAGAGACAGAGATCAGAATTAGCAATTGAGAGGTCCTTTCAAAAGTCTGATAAAAGCAAGGAGGTAGCTCTTCTTAAATCTGTTCATGCATGCACTCAAACTTATATATCCTCTGCTCAATGGAAGAAGGTGGAATAGAGTATAACCAGAGTGGGAGAGGTCTTTGATGATGTTGGTTGCTTTCCCAAGGCTGCAGAAAGTATAGATGGAGTCAATGAATGGAAGGCTGGTTTGTGTGTTGGACTGGCCTGTGTTCACAACTCTAGTTTTTTGCGGTCTTGGAAAGAGTGGTTGCCATACCACACTGTGATGCATCCAGATAGGATGCCTTCTATGGTGCATCTATAAAAATTGGTAGGAGTCCTTGTGGACATACCAAATTTCCTTAGCCCCCTGAGGAAGTAGAGATGTTGTTGTGCTTTCTTGACCATCACGTCAACGTGGGTAGACCAGGATAGATTGTTGGTGACCATCATTCCCAGGAACTTAATGCTCTCGACCATCTCCACCTCAGCACCATTGATGCAGACAGGGGCATGTCCTCCACTCCACTTCCTGAAGTCAACGATCAGCTCCTTCATTTTGCTGACATTGAGGGAGAAATTGTTATCTTCACACCATGCCACCAAGCACTCAATCTCTTTCCTGTATTCCGGCTGCAAATGAGTGAAAAGCATTGTCAGAGGCACCTCTGTGACTAGCAAA